AATATATATTTTTATATCATATAAAATGTACGTGTAAGGTTCAATAAAATATATTAGCAAACGGAATTGGATATAGAAATGCAGGAGGACCACCTAACCTGTCTATAACGCTATGTATAATATTATACTCGTGCGGTCGCAGGTAACTTCGGAAACGCTATTATTCAATTGAACGTTAAATTATTACCCATATTTGAGTATAATATTATACCGTTTGCGGGTGAGCATACATATACAAAATACATATAAAACTATTGAGAAATCATGATTATCGAATGATGAGACGATAATATTATTATATTAAATTATACGGTAGAAAAATAATAATAAAAAAAAAACTGTGTTCGTATCTTATAAGTTATAATATATCGAATTGACGTCGTTCTGTGTGCTCAATGACACGGGAACCGGTTCGGCGGATCAAACGCACACGAGACGAGGAGACTAATGTAAATCGAATATTACAAATCGTAATTTGAATTTGATTGGTAACCGGTGTTCGGTTAATTATTTCCTCTGTTTGAATGATGCACGAGCCTCGTGGGGAGATTGAGGAGAGTATAAGTCGGGAGGGAAAGAAGAAAGAAAATAATAATATATAATATGGGAAACGGCATTTTTTTTCTTTTTTTTTTTTTTTGATTGATTGCTCGCAATGTCTGTTTTGGTGTACGGCTTGCGGTTTTTGTACACGACTGTGTGACAAACGTTTTCCGAATGTTTGTGACAGGGTAGTGGCAAAAAAAAATAATAATAATAAAAGAGGGATGGAATAAAATGCGATACGACGATTTTAGCTGACCACCACAATATCTCTGAACTAATGTCATATTGTGTTTGGAACTAACCTTGTACGAGTAGAGTTCTAATATTAGTACTTATTTCTATAATTTAGTTCCATAATAGTACAAAAAAGGTAATGTTTGAGTTACACTGGAAGTTGAGACCAATGCTACAAGATAATTGTTGTAAATATTGTCGTCAAGTTACATTATTAATACAATATGCTATCCGATAAATTACTGTTTATAATAATTTTTATAAACTACTAAATAAATTTTAAATTTTAAAAATATATATTTATTTTACCGACTGAAAATCATTTAATTGATTAGTAATAGGTACTTTTTTTTTAGATATGAATCCAGTATTCCCAACCAAAATAAAATTCGATAATTTCTGTAATTAAGACTCATTTGGGCTGGGAAGTTAAAAAAAAAATACGACCAAATTTGACCCTCACTAAATTCGTGAGCATTGAAATTAAAGTTTTTTGGAACCATCTGTGGCATAACACCTTACTTTATTCATATACATTAAATTCTATATGCCTCATATAGGTATATATATATTAAATATTATGGAAAACTTTTAGCTGGCCATTATATGAGTTATGATACTAGATCAAATTGTCACATTTTAAAAAATGTTTTTTATAATATTAATAATATAATATAATATAATATCGAATAATATAGTTTTTTTAAATTTAGGAACTATCTCGAGATTTTCAGAACCTTACGTAGTATTTATAAAAATCTGCATACTGTTACTATATATTTTTGTTGGGGTTACAATGGTATAATTGAGTAGGGTGAGAATTCAACATTTGGAAAGACAAAAGAGGACGACGGTTGAGTAGTTGGGTAATTATATACATAGGTAGATATTATATTATACAACCTAATATAAAAAACCTTTATCAAGTAACACCGATCGAGATAATAGTATGCACATGGCTTTACAAAACAATTTTGCTACGAGGGTAGTTGTTAGTGAAAAAAATAATTTAACTTATAATTTATTAAATTATTATGAAAACGATAATTGTTTTCCTGTTTACCCGATAAATAGATTTGAAACTGGTTGCCATTTTTCATAGTATGATTTGTTTCGACTGGTATAAATTTGCCCCATTTGTGTTTGAGTATTTATTGCAATCTGCATTTTGACTGTCGCCATTTTTACTTTTTATATTATAGGTAGTTCGACATTTTGACTTTCCACAGAGATTATGACCTTTCTTATCACAGTATATTATTTACGAAAATAGCATAAAGACAAATATTAAAATGTGGCGTGGAATAGGACTTAGTATTTTCTATAAATATAAAGCAGGAAACGATTATCGAGGGTTAGATCCTTATCAGGACATCAAGATGGATAATTTCCTCTGAAAAAAATATATGTAATAATATATTGCATATACCACAGATATACAAATGGTTTTAGAATATGTTTTTTCCTGAGCCATCAGACGACTCCCTTTTACTATTTGAGGATGTAACATATTTCCATGTACGACATACAGTATGATTTATTAACCTTAACATCACACTATCCGTATCCGAACATTTATGTGATGAAGTATAAGTTAACTTAAGTATGAAAAAATTAATTAAGTTTTGAGCTTGAGTAGTATATACATTTTTGCGTTGTATTTATATTTCAAAACATCATAATATTATAGTTTATACCCTTATTTCAATACATCAAATTATTATTATTTTTTATCTTCTGCCATTCATTACGAACCATGGTATTTTATTTATTTTTCGAAAAACGTGTCATATTTATTTTTGCTCCAGTTCGATACACGAAATCGTAGTATTTATTATACTGCTCAAAACTTTTTTTTCTCAACGCACAAATGTTTAAATAACCTTGACAATTTTTTTTTCCACGTGCACTTATTCGTCGCTGCAGTTCGTTTCGTATTAGTCATTAGATTATGGTAATTTTTAAATGCCCCCAGAGGCTTTTAATGACTCGGAGTGACTTATATAACATCAGAAAGTAATGGGTGCCATTATAATACAGTTCAGACCTTATGAGTTTGAGAAGCTAATGAAACATCGAAGATGTAATAAAATACAGACGTAGGAAGTACCTATACGTGCGCTTCGTTTGTATATAATATGATCGTTTGGGGAATCTCCTGCAGCTTCCAGTAACTTGAATTATAATGATTATAATAAAAAAAAATTGATGGCTTGATTGCCGAAAGTCGTTCCACCCCCTAAAAAAAATGCACTTTGGTTGACTGTTATTATTTAATTTATAATTTACGAGGTGTACGATAATAATGATAAATTGCGCATTTTTTTCAATAACGCATAATTATTTTTACGAGAATTAAATAAAATTCACTTTCACACGCTCTTCTTGTAATAACAATTACTTAAATATCAGGGAACAATAATTATTATTATGGTATATTCAGACAATATCAGAATATTATTATTTATACTTTAATTGTTATGACCTTAAAAACACTCATTAAACAGAGTCTCGAACGTGTTAAAATTGTATTTATTTTATAAGTTCGACTGGAATTTCCAACTCCAATTAAACAGTACGTTGACCTAAGGTCTGATTACATATTGAGCTTAATACAGCTCTACGACGGCGAATCGACAGCGAAATAATAAATTGACATTATTCATATTTTTTTAAATGCAGTATATCTTTTCCTCTAAGACTCTTCCAAAACTACCAACATGTTTGCATTGCAACATTAAAATTACGTGTAATACGAGTGTGCCATGACCAATTTATTCGATTCGATAATCGGACACTATTATATATAATGTAATCGGTCATAATTTCCATATATGTGGTATAATATCATGTATATTAAGATTTAAGACTCGACGCACTAACACACGAGTCGTATCTATATTATAATCTTTTCTTAATTCGGGAATAATAAATAATAATTAATCGAACCCCATAAATAAATCTGTGTGGAAACCATGTACTCGCGCGTTTATCATAATACCATATTTCAAAGGGGTTTTGACCGAATATTTTATACGTCCGACTATTATATGCATATAATATTATATTGTATACGCGTAAGCTATACGATAAATAACGCTAATACGTCCTTAAACAGACTAGTCGTACAACAAAACGCTTATTATTCCTGCACGTGTATACCTATATTATAAGACTGACGGTGAAAATGTATAATAATAATATAAAGAGTATATTGTTATCGAAGCCCTTCTTCCCTTACAATATAGGACATAGGTATTATATCTATAACTGGGTATAACTGCAAACCTGGTCAATTTACGTTTTGATTTTCGTAAACGTAGTAAAGTAATATTATAACTGTTACTATTAATTTGTTTACATACGGGTACAACGAGAGGTTACTATAGGTACAATTTTAACTATATAATATATACATTCGATTAGCCATCGGTACTTTTATGCCCTTCACAAAATAACACTTTTATGCAAATATTTTACTTTTCTATACAAAATGACACGATCATAGTAATATAACTGTAGTTATCTTTATCATATTACATTGTAGTGCAATCAATTCTAAAGTATCCCACTTCGTTATTTTCTGAAAAAAAAAGACAAACTATAACAATCTTACGATGGCGCATAATACTGAAATAATAATCTGTAATAAATATACTCTTATAAATTCAAATACCGAGTTGTAGGGGAAAAAAATACACTGATAATAATTGGTAAATTCGTTGCGAAAAAGTCAAGCGATGCGTTTGCCCACACAATAACAATACGAGGCGACTGTAGCAGAAGTCGTTTTTCATACTCTCCTTCGATTCGTCTTAATATAACAGTAGAATAATATAATATATAATACGATATTAATATAGGTAGTTTGCGGTCGAGAAAAGCGGAGTCGATATCACATTATGTATATGAATCCTTTAAAAAAATGCCTTTACGTCTGCCGGCGGGTCGCAATCGTCTTGTTTTGCGTATTCACTTCAACGTCACCGTGGCAGCTGCTGAGTCACGCAGGTCGTCTCGTGTGTACCCTCGAGTTGTATATATTTGCGAAAAAGTCCTGCGGGATCGCGCGGTCTCGGTCGCTGCTGTAGAATTCGATTAAGATAATGGGCCCGAACGAGGATTGATGGATGTGAATTTGAATATTCGTACACGACGACCATTGGTATTGACCGTATCATTATTGCGAACGTCGGGCCGGAGGGGCACGTCTGTTGGGCATGCGGAGGGGTGAGGGGGTAGGTGGTTTGACGGAGGGACAAGTCTCTCGTACTCGAGCGCGCACAAAAGAGATCGCTCCCGAGACCTCGGCCCCACCGATGCAAGAGGACGCAGTGGTGGCGGCGGTGGTATCGTTTAAGAGCGATTTGTCGCACACCCACCCACTCGCCCACCCGCATCCACCGGAACAACAATGGTCCCAGGGATCAGGGCTTCCAGAGGTCCACACGCCGAGCAAGGGACGCGTTGTCGCGAGCGCGGCCGACCGTTTGATAAATGATAAAGCGACGTTTTACCCTGTCCGTTTTCGAAACATTGACAAATTATGTAAACGTCTTATTCGCATTAGCCATCCATCGGTTTTGCCCGCTCGCCGAAGCCGCGGCGGGGTGGCCGTGGCGTGTCGGGGCTAGCGCGTTTTCGCAGACTCTTTTTTCCCTTATTTCCTCCCCGAAACGACATGACATAATATAATATCGCATTTAATCGAGCTGTGTATACATAGTATAATATATTATTATATCGTGCAATAATGTATATGATATTATGATTTTTGTTCGCGTTCGGTGGTGGGCGAATAACGCACCCACAAATCAAATTACGATATATAATATTATATAATTGAAATGTCACGGCACACACAGCGCAGCAATATCGTATTATTATTACATGCATGTGACGAGAAAAAAACTTAGCTCGTTTGACGAAGTCACTGTGACGGATCGTATTTGTAATATTATAATTATATGCTTAGTATAATGTAATAATATGTTTTTATATTATTCGAATCGTTATTCTTTCTTCGGCCCTATGTGTGTCTTCGCGATCGGCTTTCTTTCGAATCAACCCTCTCGAACAACTCTTTTTATTTCTTTATTCATTTTTTTTTTTCGTTCCTCGTCCAATGTAATTAAATAATTTTGCAGATTTCGTCACGAGAAGGGAGAATATTACATCCATACATATTATATCTCGCACGAGGGTGTCACATGCGAGCGATATTCTATAACTGCAGTTGTGAAATATTATGACACATATGGGGTTTTATTATATATAGGTACGTCCAGCATTGCTCAACCATATATTCGACGGTAGGTGAGTTAGTTTAGGTTCGGTTAGGGATACCAATATGATGGTTTTGAATAGAAAAAAACAACACTTACAATAATGTGTTACATTATTATATTATGATATACTAAGTTTTTTGCCGAAAAATGAATGAAAAATCAGGTGTTTTTATTATAATCAAAACGTGTCTGTAGTCTGTATATTATAAACTGTTTCATCTTCAATATTGAAAATAATAATATACATTAATTACATAAATTGTCGTGAATCTCAATATTAAATGGGATTATAATAATATTGAAATAAAGCAGATGGTGGGGGGGGGGCGTTGTTAATTTGTACACGAAAAAATATTTTAATCAGCCCGTTCTTGAAATGTTGAAATACACTTGAATTAGGTATTGTTTATTATGTTACCGAACTTTTTGAGAGTATAAAATTAAACACGCACTTTAACTAATTAACGGATTAGTTAAACTCTTAACGTCCAATTATTTCATGACGAGACTTGCGTATATTATTACAGGGATCTACATAATACAGTTTCAGTCGATTTTAAGCCAATTTGAATGACTTAAAAGGTGAAATGCTTAGTTTAAAATACTTATTATGTGCGTAATTAAAGGGCTGTATATTAACAAAAATAAAAATGAATTGGCCCCCGTAAATGAAATTAATCGTTTACCAAAACAGGTAAGGTATAAAGTAAGTTTAATGTATTATCCATTAAATTTCGTTTGTTTTTTGATGCTTATTATATAGGTATAGCTTATATAACTATACTAACGTAGTGACGTCGATAAATTGCGTAGGGCTAACAGATATAATATATTATATAGTGGTAAACAGTTAATAATGGATATATTTTTTTTTTCATTGGCAATTTCATTTTTATACCCACATATAGTGTTCTTTTGAATAATTTAATATTCGTATTAAGTATATATATACCTTAATCATACATTGCTCCTCTTCCAAATGAAGGATCACGGAGGATCATAATATTCGCCTTTATAATATCAAAGTACTGAATTTTTTTTTATCCACATTAAAACGGATACCTACAGTTTTTTTTTTTTAATACGGGAAAATTTTACGGCACATATATTCCGCACAACTATTTAGTTATTGCATTTACTTTGCGAAGAGCTATACTCGGAAATAACCCGTTGGTAGGTTTTGTTTTATTTTGTTCTCAAATACTCTCTTTCTATTGAAAACCAAAGGAAAATTATTAAATAAAAGAATAAAATAGTTGGCGTATTATATGTATGATATTATTATATGTTATATGTATATTGCGATATGAATATTATATTTTATAGTTCTGCGAATCATGTAAAGGAGTTTATCATTCAAACTTTTCTAAAGAAATTTCTCATTCATTCCAATCAAAATATCGTATACAAAATACATATATAGAGAGGGAATTATATTTTACATACCTACCTACATTACTGTACCTATATATTTCTGAAACATGGTTATAAATTATATAACCGTGGCGGTTCGATTCAACAACAAATTCGTTTGAAATTAGCATTAATTCTTGTAAGAAAAAAAAAACGTGCAGACTTTATTGTTATAAAATATGTACAACTGGAAGAATTTTATTGATCACCATAGCTACTAACGACTAACCGCAATAATATTATCATCAATCGGCAAATACATCAAAGACAGTTAGCCCACTTTATTAAAAATTATTTCTCTGAAAATGTTAGTATTAAATTTTTTATATTACTTCGCGAGTGAAAATAAAAACGAAATAAAATTGAAATATCTGTTTTGACAATGTGAACAAATAATAATTAATATTATCATAATAGATGTATTGAGTCTTACTCGAAATGGTACTTTACAGATAACACTATAACTATTTTCTATAGTGAATATAACAGTTATTTAATTATTATGTTTTTGAAGCTGCAGATATACGTTTTGATGTAACATTTTGAATTTAATCATTATAGCGGCTAAGACTATTATAATATGGTTAGACATGAAAACTTTGTATTAAAAATGTTAAATATTTTTTTTGTTATTATTGAATTAAAAAAATTAAGCAGTAAACTTTATGTTAGTTGAAAATGTTAATTTTAAAGTTCAATAGCGGAATAATGGACGATCCCCAATAATTTGATTACGGACGACGGTGAGGAAAATTTTATTTCTATAATTTATAACTTTCCCTTCTGGGAAATCTCTCTGTTTACTCCTCGCCGTAGTGTAGTCATCTCCCCCTCGCAAATCACTAATTGATCATATTGTTGTTGTTCGATGAACAATATTTGCGTCCGTTGTTTTTTCTTTGTTTTCCGTATAATAGCGGTATATTATCGAAGGAAAAATCATCAGTCCATCCAGTCCGTCTTAAGACAACAAACTGCACCGCGATTACAATAACGATTCGTCGGTATACAATACGATTATACAATGATTACCGTCTTGGACCACTTGGGTCATTAACGCGTGGACCCTATATTTAGTATAGGGTATATTATTAGGTATTTATGTATATTATGCCTAAAAAAACATAAGATTCATACAGTTACAATAGTTACATAGTATATAATGATACCTAATATACTTATAAGTAAGCACCTAGGTACATGTTGTATATGCTTGAGTTGATGCTGCACAGCAGTCTGAACGGCAAAACGAAACGATATATCGACAATAACCGTTTAAGTGCCTGGCCAAATAATTTGTATTACACACGATGCAGCTAGCTTAAGAGTATAGTATTTGTATATGTGTGTTCGTGTTAACGTGTGTGAATGTTTGATGATCATTAGCATTTGAGATTAATAATAAAAGAACACACGGAGGGTACGTTACCGATGCATAAATTAAGCCGTGGGAAAACGGTATTAATTTATGCGACTGCAAAAAGGGGCACACACTAACGCTATGCTATACCTAAATATATATTATTATTATATACGTGGCTCATATTCTCGATAAACGTGTGTATAGTTTATAATATGTACACCGAAGATAATGCAAATTCGTCCCCAAAGAACAATACCCCCGTTGGATTATGTAATTTTTTTTCCGTTTCGTTTTGTTTGCTTCTTTTCCTCCCGACGCGTCCTCCGCCGCACACACACTTATATATACCGTTTGTACCGTTCTCCACATTATATTATATACCTATGCCTCGTGTATATATACCTTTGGCGATAATTTAAAACTCCGCATATATACGTATATAATAATATGTACCGGTATACTACGGGGTACCACCACCGTCACCGCGCCGCCGCTGGGTGGGGCTTACGCGGGCCTCGCGCACACCGTTATATACGTATACACGACAAAACGAGGCTGAATATTTAATTAAAAGGGTTCGTTAGTTTTAGTTTAAGGGCAGTCACGGATAGAAGGAATTTGAATCCCTTAAGTTCAGCCTTCCCTTAAGAATAATACTACTTCGTTTGCATATATACCGGGGGCCGGGTGGCGCGGAGGGGTGGGCTGGCGGTGCGGCCGGGGGTTGATTAGTATTACCCCTTTTTAATCAATGGACACGATCTGCATGCTTAATTATAACCGGTCTCTCTGCCGCCGCCGTGTAGCAGCTAATCAATTCCGGGACGCGGAAACTCTCATGTATTATATATCCAGTTCCTATGTATATAATATTATACAGGTACATTGTACATAATATTATATGGGTACGTTGTGTATTATATACATACGATATAATTATTATTGCGCACATACCGGTTCGGAGTGAAAAGAAAATATAATGGACGAAAAAAATTTATAATATAAATCGCATGGGCGCGCAGGTACGCGAAACGAAGAGAGGGATGAAAGCGTTTTCGCGGCTCTCGGGTACCTATACTGCACGGCGGGTCCGCGATTATACATTATAATATGTTATACTCTGCACCTATAGCGCGCCTGTGAGTATTTAAATATATAATAAAACAGTAACAATGTAATAACGTGTCGTCTGTATAATTAGCATATGCAAATGTCCAGGAGACGTTTCTTTTGTTTTCCTCGGGGCCGCGTCTTTGGGGCGTTTTTCACACGACCCGAAATCGGTCCGTTGTTTTAACGACCAAGAGCCGATTGTTTCCGTTCAATTTCCCGAAAAAACAATTGTTCGGTCAGGTCCCTTCTCCCGCGAACCACCGCGGTTTTCCGTTGCGCATTGTGCTTTTCGATTCGTCGACCGGCGTCGGTTACACCCAGCGCATGAGAAAAAAAACCATTTGTGATTTTCGAAAAAAAAAAACAAAACTGCTTCTCTGAAGCAGAAGTACAAGTAGCTCTGTTTCCTCTGCGTGCAATATATTACAGATATATGCGTATTGTTATGTGGTGACGG